AACCCTGAAGTAGTATTACTGAATCGGAGTAGTAGTAATAGGAGTATTAGCAGTGGGGGCTGGCCCTTCACCCCCCAGCTCCAATTTTTTAATTTAATACTACATTGTATCATAGCAGACATTGGCACGAGAAGTCTCTAAACATGCCTTGCCCTTGCCCAGTTTCAGGCTCAATGTTCTCTTTAAAATGAGAGATTGGTGGGACCCAAGCCTATGGCCTGCAGTCACCTTTCAAGTCTGCAACTGAACTCACTCCTGTGTTAGAATCCATCAGCCGTTCAGGATCAAAGGGACAGCATTTCCCCACGGCCAGTCTCAGTGGGTGAGGGAGGGAGGGGGCACAGGAAGCAGGGAACAGTATTGAGATGAGTGAGGACTCATTGAGGGTGGGATATGTGTGAGTGGAGACACAACTGTGGAATGTAGAACTGATGACCTGCTCGCTTAACCCTCACCTAATCTACACTGAAACGTTTTAAACGTACATAATTAGGGGGGGAAAGACATCTCGGCTTTAAAAAAATTTTTTTTTTTTGCTTTTTGAATCTTCAAAGAGATCTCATACCGCCGATTTGCTCAGTGGAATGTGTCCGTTTGATTTCTTCAGCGCTGCTTCCATGTGGGCACTGATGGTGGAGCCAAGGAAAATGAAATCCGTGACAAATAAATAGTTTCTCCATTTGTCGTGATTTTGCTTATTGGTCCAGTTGGGAGGGATTTCTGAATCTTCGTCAAGTCCCATCTCATCTGCTTCAAGTGCTATTCGCGGTCCGGAAGCAGCGCTGTGTCACTTGTACGCCACAGATTGTTAGGAAGTCTTCTTCCAAACCTGATGCTGCTGTCTTCGGATAATCCAGCTTCCTGAATGGTTCCTTCTTCCTTAGATAAGTATGGGGAAAGGATGCAGCCCTGACACACACCTTCCCTGCTTTTAGTCAATGCAGTAGCCCCATCTTTTGATCAAATGGCTGCCTCTGGGTCTGTATACAGCTTCCGCGTGAGCACCATTCAGTGTTCTGGGATTCTTCGTTGAATGTTGTCCATAGTTATGTTCCACATGGTTAAATGTCTTTGCAAACTCAATGAAATACAGGTAAACCTCTCTCTGGTATTCGCCGCTTTCAGCCCAAATCCATTTGACAGGAGCTTTAATATTCCTTATTCCAAGTCTTCTGAATCCACTTTGAATTTCTGACAATTTCCTGACCATGTCCTGTTGTCACCGTTTTTGTATTTATTTAAATCGTCTTCAACAAGATCATCCTTGCATGTGACATTAACGATGCTGTTTAATAATGTCTGCATTCTGTTGGATCGATCATCTTTCTTTAGAATGGGCAGAGGAGGAATCTTCTCTAGTT